CCTGCACCCCCTCCTCCCTCCGCCTGCAGAACGACCCCCACCACCCTCCACACTCACCGTTGGTCTCTAGCTGGGCAGGTCCCAGCTCTCGTGCGGCTGGCCCTGCCTCCTCTCCGTGCCAGGGTGGGGTGCTGAGCAGGGCGGGAGCCCCTCCGAGCTGCCCTTGGCTGGCGCGCTGCCCACCTTGTGGGGCGGGGCCAGGGCTGGGTGCCAGGGGCCCAGGACCTGCATCCCTTGAGCACAGGCAGAGGGAGGGCAAGCGCCCCCCGGACCCCAGGCGGTGCCCTTGGCATCCTGTGGTCGCAGCACAGAGGTGGCCAGGACCCCATCCCCGTCACCTGAGCCCCATTTCCACATATCTCACAAAACAGGAGCTTCCAAAATTAGAATTTATTTCTGTTTCTAAGGAATGAATCCACAAGCGTGGCTGCCTCTGCGCCCCACCGGGCTTGCAGCTGTGGGTTCCACCTGATTTGAGTCAACACAGAGAGACCCAGAGGGCGCCCGGACGCTGGCTGGGGCAGGGCAGCTCAACCACGGTCTGCGGCTGCGGCCCCACAAGCCATCTGTCCAGTGAGGGTCACGCGGCCCCTGCGCACCCCCATTGGAGGCATAGGAAGCAGGTTCCAGCCAGGACAGCAGCTCACACCTGAGGTGCCAGCTGGACCCCGAGGCTGACCTTCTCGGGACAGAGACCCAAAAAGAGAGAATTTCTTTTTGTCCCAATCAGATTTAAGGCTTGTATTTCCTGACACTTGCTTCAGTTTGTTTTTTCTTTAAAGTTAAAATTACCTGAGTAAAGATTTTCAGACATTTAAAAAAGCCAAAAACACAGAATCTCTGCAGGCAGAGACGGAGCCAGGGAGGCAGCAGGCCGAGCCCAGGAAGCCGGGCGCAGCCGGGTCCACTGGAGAGTCCGCGGCCACGCTAAAGAGCTGCCTGGGGCACCCGGCCCTTCCCAAACCCGCCTGGACCCGGAACCCCCCATGAGACGTTCCTGGGCCAGGGCACAAGAAGGCACAGTGAGGTAGGGGACAGCAGCTGGCTGGCTACACCCCGCCGCCTGGGGTGCCGAGGGGTGCCGTGCGCCTCAGCCCTCCCCCAGCCCTGCCCCCTGGGAGCTGGGCCCCTGCAGCATGAGTGGGGAGGTGAGGAGGGGGCTGCTGGGAAGCCTCGGCTCAGACAGTTCAATAATCCTTTATTTGGGTGGTGTGGACGGGGGTGCAGGCACGGCTTGGCCTGGACCCCCACGGCGGGTGGAAGGGCCGTGGGTGGGCTCGGCGCTCAGGGTGCTTCCGCAGGTGGTGCAGGCTCCCCGGGAGCCCCTCAGCAACCACGTGAGCCGCCACCGCCCGGCTGTGGTCGCTCCCTGGGCGGTGCTTCCTACTTGTGTGGGCGGGCGGTGGCCGCCCTCTCGAGGCAGTACTGCGCGGCCGGCAGCGACAGCACCAGGCTCACAGTGCGGCGGCCCATCCAGTACAGGCCGTAGCCCAGCAGGCCGAAGAAGGCAGCCTTCACAGCCAGCCGGGACACTCTGCCGGAGATGGACGGCGGCGGGACGCTGGGGAGGGAGGGCAGGGCTGGGCCTGGGCTCCCCAAGCCTCAGCCCCCACTCTGGGGTCACCGCCATGCGCGGATGATGCTCCCTGGGGTCCAGCCTCCACCTGGGGGCTCACAGGGTGGGGCCCGGGCCACGGGGAGGCGGCTCACGTCATGATTTCCTGGATGTTGAGGTCGGTGCTCCAGTTCTTCTCGATGCCGGGCACGTGGCCCATGCCCACGACTCCCACGACCACGGCGGGGACGCACTTCCTGGGCTCGGCTGTGGTGGAGCAAGTCAGCACAGGCTCAGGGGTGTCCCTGAGAGCCCCGGGCCCGTGGGGACACTCAGCTCACCGTCGGAGGAGCGAGGCAGCTCGAGGCGCTGGGCAGCCTGGCGCAGCATGTAGGTCAGGTAGACGTCTCGCTCCGAGACGATGGTGCGGTGCAGGTCGGGGAACTCGCCAATCATCTCGGCCATCATCTGCTCCAGCAGGTCCTTCTGCTTGCAGCGCTCCACGTCGTCCTTGCTGGGGCAGAGGGTGCGGCTGCCAGCCCCGAGGGACAGGGCGGGGGCGGCGGGGGGCTGGTGCTGTTGACCCAGGGCAGGGGCTGCGGCACCATTGGTTCGGGGTTTTCCACGGAAGGAAGGGCAGGGAGGGCCTTGTCTGAGGAGGCTCGGCTGGCTGGAAGGTGGGCAGGTGCGGCCGCACCAGGACGTGCTGCGCAGCCGGCCAGCCTCCCCTGCAGGTCGCCCCTGCGCCACGGCCACGGCGCCCAGGCTGCCCTACCTGATTGGGTCTGACAGGAAACACAGGCCCCAGGCCAGCTTGACCTTCTGCCAGAAGGAGAGCGCGGCGATGGCTCTCTTGAAGGTGACGGGGATGGGCCGGTCGCCCAGGTGGAACTTGCAGAAAGGCACCCTGCTGGCCTGGACAGAGGCTGGGCGTTGGGGAGCGGCAGGGGCCTGGGCCGCTGCCCCCCGTCCCCCCCAGACTGCACCCTGCGCCCACCTCCTTAAAGGCCTCCCTGAACTCGCCGCCGGGGGCCATGCCCAGCTGCTCGGTGATGTGCGCCGACACCTTCAGCAGCAGCATCTGCATGAGTCCCGACATGAGCCCGTTCTGCAGGCAGAGGGAGGCCGGGCTCAGCTGCGCACCTCACAGGGGCAGAGCTGAGGCACAGGGATAGCGAGGTGCCCCTCCGGCAGGCCCAGGTGTGAGCTCTGCACGGGCTGTCCTTGGGTCCCGCCACGCACAAGGCATGGGCCACCCTGGCCTCAACAGTGCTTTCCAAAGGCAGCTCCTCTTAGGAAAAGCCCTTTGTGAAACAGTCACGGGTTGAAGAGGGGCGGTCTCCACCGTCACAGGTGCCCGACCCTGGGCAAACACGCTGGGGTCCAGGGCCTTGCCAAGGCAGCCCCGTCACTCCCCACGTCCGCCCGCGGAGGCCGACAGACAGTGCACGGCACCAGGCACGGACGCCAGGCACGCCCACGTCACGCCGAGCACAGCGTGAGGCCGCCGGGCTCTGGTCTTCCAGGCCGGCGGGGTCAGTGCATGAGGAGAGGCTCCCCAGGAAGGGCGAAGCCCTGGAGACAGGCCCAGCTCTCCCCGGGCCTGGGTGGAGGGGCCTCCCCCAGGCAGAGCTCTAGGGAGCACCCGAGACCAGGGGGACCTGGGCTGCAGGTGCGCAGGGGCAGAGCAGGGAGCGCGGCGCCTGCGCACCTGCCTCACGGCCTGCTGCAGCTTCTCCAGGCTGATCTCCTTGGCCTCGCGCAGCAGTGTGCTCTCGTCCATCTTCAGCATGGACACGCGGTACTGGCAGAGCTCCACCACCACCACGTCGGGCTGCACCTCGCGGATGGTCTGCAACAGCCACGGTCGCACCTCGCTCGGTGCCGCCTGCCCTCCCCAGTGTCCTCGAGCTGACCCAGCACCAAGAGGCTGCCCCGCCCCAGGGTGGCCAGTGTTGACGCCACCCGGCACCCTGCTGCCGTGCTCTTTAGCAACTAAAGAGAGAAAGTTACGAACAGGTTCACGTGGAAAGATGGAAAGGCACGACGCTCGCACAGCTCTGGGGCAGGAAGCACAGCCTGGCCACTCCCGGGGGGCCACGGACTTGGAAGCGCGTCCAGTGTGGAGGGAGGCGGCGTGCGGTGCGCTGGCGCCTCTCGGAGGCCCCCTGGGCTCTGGACGCAGGAGCTCACCCTCAGCCCCCGTCCTGCTGACGGCGGGGGCCTGCAAGGTCAGACCAGCGGGCTGTGGCACTCACCTTCACGACGTCCCTCTTGCTGTCGTCACTGAAGTGGGCCGTGCCCACCACATACACCCTGCTCCCGTCCTCGGCCACCAGCTGGGTCACGGTGTGCGGCAGGTTGGGCCGCTCACGCCGCCGCTTCAGCTTCATCTCCAGGAGCAGGTTGAAGGCGTCCACATCGGCTGCAACGACAGCAAAGGCCATCGGGACTCTGAGGACAGCCGCCGGCACTGGCAGTCTGGGCTCTGCAGAACCTTCTGGGTTCCCAGGACTGCGCAGATGTGGGGTGGGAACCAAGTCTCGATGTGAAACCCAAAACTCACGGGGCACAGGCTCCCCAAGTGTCAGGGTCCCCGAGCCTGGCCAGCCTAGGGGAGAGCGTGTGCTGTCTGTCTGCCTCTGAGCCTGGGCCTCAGCAGCCCTTTGTCCCACCCCATGAGGACAAGGCCCAGGCTGCCATGGGGAGCGCCAATGAGAGGGGACAGAGGGGACCAGGTGCCCTCAAGAGCACTGGCCTGTCTTGGCTCAGCTGGGGGAGGAGCTCTGCGTAGGCACAAGCTGGGCCACCTTCCGGAGTAGGGGCCCCGCTCCGCTCACCGCGCCGTGCTCAGGCGCCTGCCTGCTGACGTCGGTGCTGCCTGCGGCCCAGCACTCCGCATCCGCACTGCCAGTGCCCAGGCGGGGCGCCTGTGCCCCCAGGCACGGCTCTGAGCCTTGCAGCACCCACCTGGGTCTCGGCCAGGGCCCCGCTCGCCTCGGGCCGCTGCCCGCACCCCTACACCGACGGCCCAGCACGGGGAACGGCTGAGGCCCGAGAGGACACGTACACGGGTTCTGAGCTTCTCCAGGAAGCACCCTGGGCACCGGCTCCGAAGCCCCTGCCGTCACCGCAGGCTCCGCGTCGGCCTGCAGAGGGAGGAGAGTTCACGTGGGGGTGTCCACGGGCCCTGGACTGCCGGAGTCCCAGTGGCCTTGGGGGTCACACACTCCCAGGATCCCACTGCCCCGGCCACCTGGAGGCCTCTGCCTTCACCACCATCGCCTGGCAAGGCCGCCAGCCCGCCCAGGGCTCCTCTCCCGCGGAAATGCTTCCTGTCTGACCCCAGAAAGCCGGGTGAGGCTCTTCTTTGCAGGGAACAGCCAAAGGGGCCCCAGGACGCCCCACGCTGCGTGGCGGCAGTGCGGACCCCGTCTGGCCCTGAGGTTGTTCAGGGGGAAGACCCCAGCCCCTCACCTCCTGCGGTGGCTGCTCCTCCCCCTCCATGGCTGGGCGGCAGCTCCCGGTGGAAGGCGGAAGCCTGAAGAGACAGGAGGCGGCTCTCTCACCCGGAGCCCAGGGCTGCCTGGCACAGGGCTGGCACAGGGCTGCCTCCGGCCGACCACAGGCCGCTGAGGCACAGGGCCCAGCACAGGGCTGCCTCCGGCCGACCACAGGCCGCTGAGGCCCAGGGTCCTTTCGGGCAGGGCCTGGGCAGACAGGAGCTGGCAGCCACTGGGCGCTGGGGCACTCACCACGAACAAAATGCAGAAAGGGCACAGGGGCCAGAGCAGAGCCAGAGGGGCCCCAACCCTCACCCAGCACCATGCGCAAACAGAAGGCAGCGAATCCGCGTACCAAGCTGTGCAGAGCTCCCGAGAGACGGTATTTCAGGACAGAGTAACGTGGCTGCTCTCCCGGGTCATGGACCCCAGGGCCTTTGTACCAAAGCCACTTCAAAGAACCTCCCAACCCCTTTATTCATCCCACCGCGGGTGACAAGGTCGGTGCAGCTGTCAGCACAGCCGGCAGGCAGAGTCGGGGAAAGCAAGCCGGCGACCGTCACGAGGAGCTGAGACGCTCCCCAGCTTAAGAGAAAAGAGACAGAAACACAACACAGACGCAGCCACGTTGGAGGTCCTGACAAGGCCTGAGGCAGAGCCCTGCAGAGGCCGCCAGCGCACACAGGTCTTCACCGAGGCCTGCAGGAAGAAACCTGGAGCCGGGGATGCGGGTGGCACACAGGACCCGAGGGACCACTGTGGAGCCGGAGGAAGGAGACACACCAGGGAACAGGGACACACACAGCATCGGTGAGACCCACGGGGTGGCCGAGGCTGGGGTAGGGACCAGTGGTCACATGAGCACTGGCCACATGCCCTGTCTTCCACAGGGCTCTTCGTGGACCTGCTCACCCACAGAGCCAAGGGGCAACGTGTTCACAAAGTCACCAGACTCCATGCGGATCCTGACAGACGGGTATGACACCACCTCATGGGGTCGTTAAAACATTCAAACCAAAATTTGGAGCCTCACACAGAGTCACAGCAGCTGACCAGCACGCTGACCACATGACAGGACAGCCAGCACGTGCAGACAGTGCGGAAAGGCGGCAGGACGCACATGCTGTTCGACAGACACTGCGAGGGAGACGAGCCTCGGGCAGGTGGCAGGGGCAGCAAAGGGCCACGGCTGGACCCTGACTTGGGAAAGTCGCTTAGAAACAATGAGCCTGTTGGCCTGACAACCTAGGTGGATGGTGCAGCGCTAAGGAACGATGCTGACTTGTCTTTTGTTTTGTTTTAAAGTGTCTACACCCAGCAGAGACATGTGTTTATGGGCCAAACTATGCGGCATCTGGGATGTGTCTCAGAGGAGCCACCGTGGGGAGGGCACAGTGGACGAGCTCTGGCCGACGCCAGGCGCCGCGCAACTGCCCAGATCACTTTGGTTTCACTGTTGCTGCACGATTCTCAGAACTCTCATCATAAAAAGAAAAGATGAATAAGAAAACGAACTGATGCTATCTCAAGCTCCTGTCCCCTCGGTACCCTACAGCCACAGAGCTGCAGCAAGCTCAGACCTGCCCCCCAGGCCATGGCCATCCAAGCCACTGCACCTCTGAGCTCCGGTTTCCTCACCTGCAAACAGGAGGGGCTTCGGCAAGGTACCTGGGAGGGCGGCTCAGGGGCTAGACAGGCAGGGACACCTCCGGCAGGGGAAGGGGTTTCCCTTGGTGCAACCTAAGTCCTGATCTGGTGTCCAGGGACACACTGATGTGCCCTAGAGCCAAGAAGGGGGCAGCCCCTCCTGAGGACAGCCAGGCCTCCTACAAGAGGAACTGGCTCGGGCAGGGTGGCAACAGGGCTACCAGGCTGGCTCTGAACCTGCCCTCACCCCGCCCTGTGGACTCAGCCCTGGGTCTCAGCCCAGCTTATCACCTGAACCAGCTCATCACCTCCTCCCCACGGGGAGGTTTGAGCCTCAGCCCCCACCCTGCCCTGGGCACCCCAGAGGTCGGCACGTCCAGGAAGCGGCACTGTTGGCACCAGCCAGAGCACCCGGGCCTCTGCCAAAGCCCGAGGGCATCACCCGGGGCTTCCTCCTTGCCCTCCTCACAGGTCAAAGCCGGTCACTGATGCAAGGCACCAACCGAAACACAAACAGGAAGGTGTGCTGAGGATGGCACCGCAGCCAGAGCCCCGGCAAGTGGCCTGCCAGGAGCAGGAGACACCTGGTCAAGCTGAACACACGGCAGCAAACGGTTCCTCCTCACGGCAGCCCAAGCGCGAAGGAGACCCTTTAAAACACCCTGTGCAGTCCGCGGAGGTTTATGAGGGCCAGAGAACGAATGGGAAGCACCCACGTCGGCCGCAGCCCTTCCCCCACGGGCGTGGCAGCCACAGGTCTGTGGTCAGCCCCAGCCCTGCCCCCTGAGGCTTGCCCAGGGCGTGCCTGTGACGGGCACCGGGCATGGGGAACATGCCCGCAGCAGGGACTGGTCCTGCTCCGGCCACGCCGTGGGGCGTACAGGTCTCACAGCAGCTTGTCCGGCCGGGACAAGCCTTGAGCCGTGTGATGAGCCCCTTGGGCCCCCTGAACACCAGCCCTGCCCAGGAAGGGTCAGGCAGAAGGGCCACCGAGGCCCCTCCAGCGCCAGGAGTGCACGGTTCTGAGCACGTCTCCTCTACCGCTCTCGCGTCCTTGCACTTTCCAATACCCTGGCTTCCCTCCCTCTCGCTCGCTGCAGTGCCTGCGAGCTCTAGGATGTGACTTTGGCAGGACACTCATCCTCCCCCCGCAGCCGTCATGTGTTCCCAGATAACTATGGCTGGGGCCCAAGGCCCTCCCAGCTGCTTGGAAGGGAGCGAGGGGCTGCGCATCCCCAGCCCCCAGACTGCTGGCCCAGCCTCCACCTCCCTGCTCCCGGTCTGCGTCCTTCCTGTTTCCTCCCACACGACCTCTGGACTGCTGTCCCCACGGAGCATCACCGGAGGGTCCAGCCACGGGCTGCTGACCTGTCCTTTTCAGAGGAGTGCAAGCCCATTAGCAGAGACCAGCAGACCCCTTGCTGCCACCCTCTGGGGATGAATGCTGCTCCTCTCTAAGTCCCTGCCAGCTGGCACAGCCCCAGGGAGGTGGCACATGGCTCTGGTCCTGTTACCTGGCCACACTGTGAGGCCAACTCGCGTGGAGCCCGGCGAGAAGCTGGAGGACGCTTCTGCATGTCAGCTGTGCTTCACTCTCCCCAACCCAAGGGTGTCCGTGGCCAGGACAGGGGTGGTGCTGAACACCACGGTGGAGACACCTCCTGGGCAAGCCCGGCCAGCAAACAGGCTGCAGGGTTGGTCAGACCCCAGAACCCCCACTCAGCACTGTGCCACCTCAGGCAGGGCGCTTCAAATGGCGAAGCCTCAGTTTAAGGCAGGACTCGTAGACTGCCTCCAGGGCCAGCAGACCCACCTGTCCACATAGCAGGCCCTCTCTTGGTCGAAAACACATGACACATTCAAATGCTACTTCAGCTGTGACCCCAGACCTCTCTGAGCTTCTCTGCTGGGGTATCGTCTGTCCCCAGGGTGGAGGACAGGAAAAGAAAGAGCGGCCTGGTTTCAGGAGAACTGACACCGTCTCTGAAAATACTTGTTCTCCAAGTGCTCCGTCTCCTCATCCATGAAAAGGGACAACACCGTCATCTGGCTTTGGGAACTATAATCCCCTCCATGGATGAAAGAATCCCCTGCAGGGTTCCAGAACAAACCTCAAACGTCTGAGAATTCCCATCAGCCCCCGGGGCACACATGCCCTCTCGTGCACGAGAGAAGGTGCCAGGCTTAAAGGGCAAGAAAAGCTGCTCTCACCTTAGAGATCCACGGCGGGGGTGGGGGGGGAGACAAAACTCAGAGTAACAGCTGCTCAACGTTGCATAAGACCAACATCGGGGACGCTTTGTGGGCATCCGTCACTGCACATCAGAGGTCACTGCGAGTGGCAGGGTGTGGGCCTCACAGCAACCTCGGCCACACCCTCCACCTGCCCAGCTGGCAGCTGTTCCCTCTCCTGGGTCCTACTGCTATGGATCGAATTGCGCCCTCCCAAAATTCATAGATCAAAGTCCTAACCCTCCAATGTGACCATGGTGGGAGGTGGCGGCCTCTGGGAAATGATTAAGTTCAGATGAGGCTATGACAGGGTCCTCATGGTAGGGTTAGTCCCCTTACAAGAGACAGCAGGCCGGATGCTGTGGCTCACGCCTGTAATCCTAGCACTTTGGGAGGCTGAGCCAGGAGGATCGCCTGGGGCCAGGAGTTGGAGGCTGCAGTGAGCTACGATGATGTGACGACACTGTACTCTAGTCTGGGCGACGGAGTGAGAGCTGTCACTCCCCCGCACCCCCAGCTGAGGACACAGCAACAACAGCTGTCTACGAGCCAGGAAGAGGGCCCTCGTCAACAACCAAATCAAATAGCACCTTGACCCTGGACGTCCAGCTTCCAACTGTGAGACAGTACCTTTCTGTTAAGTGTGTAAGACACTTCATTATAGCAGCCCGAGCTGACACTCATGCTGTCCCCCTCCCCCTACTAAAAACTGCCCCTCAGGAGGTGGGTGAAAAAAAAAATAAAAACTGCCTCCCAGATCCCAGCCTGGCTGAGCACTGGCCGAAAGCTGACCAGCACCAAACAGAGTTCCTAGAAAAGCCCTCATCTTTCAACCAACCCACTGGCCCTGCTCAGAAAGCCAAGGGTGTCCACCTGGACAGACCCAGGGGCCACAGAAAGGAATGACAGGCTGGGAGGTAGCAGGCTGTGGCCCAAAGCCCCCAGCTCCCCTGCACTCCATTTCTGAAGCTTAGGCACCTGTGACCACTGGGCACCCCCCTGCCCCCGGGTCTGCAGGACCTCCTTATGCGAGTGTGGCAGAGTTGGGGGTGGGGAGAGGGACACGCACACCTGAGATGGAGGTTTGAAAAGCTCCCTGGCCAGCACACCTGGCCACCCTCCTGGGACCTGGTCATTGCCCAATGCCAGAGCCCCCACACGACCACCACTGTGGGGTGCTGTGTGCCCTGCGCCCCGCTCCTGGCAGTTCTGTCCAGCAG